ATCCATTGTCCAATGATTTATGAAATGACAACTTAACCATGGGGAGCTCAGGGGTACCATCTGATGTGTGGTTCTTATCACTACACCACACTTAAAAACATGTCAATAGAACTTTATCACAATGGGTGGTTCTTATCACTACACCATACTTAAAAACATGTCAATAGAACTTTATCACAATTGGTGGTTCTTATCACTACACCATACTTAAAAACATGTCAATAGAACTTTATCACAATGAATTATTCCACAATGCTGACAAACAACCCCTGATTGTTGGGATCTCTCTTGACTCGGTTCATTAATCGAATTCCCCTTATACGATGGTCCAGACCTGAACATTGCCACCATTTCTTTTTACCATTTGCTTTGTCCTCTACCTTAGCTTTTCCCCTTATTTCTAAACTAATGTTGATAACCCATTTCCTTCCAAGTGTCTTTCTTCCTGACTTTATGCTTCTGTTAAAATTGAGCAGCACGCTCGTAAACCTCATACAATGAACTGATATCCAACACAGCTAAAGCTTTTTGAATCCTCTGCTGCAACCCATCTACAAAATAATCAATTATGTCTCTCTCATAGGAAAAGTAGTCAGGAACATACATCTCGAGCTCATTGAACTTTGCAAAATAGTCCTCCACTGACATCAAACCCTGCTTCAAGTCCAGCAGTTCTTTTTTCTTTGCTTTTTGAACATGCGACGGTATAAACCTAGCCTTAATTTTTCTTTGAAATCATCCCAAGTCATATCACTTGGTCTACATCCGCAACTTCGTCACCTAACCACCACCGATTGGCTTGGCCTTCCAAGAAATAGGCCCCGATATTAGCTCGTTGGTCTGGTGGAATGTGAACAAGAAGAAATATCTTTTCCATCTTCTCAACCTAAAACTCAAGAATTCCAGACTCCACAGAACTAGAATATGTTTGTGGGTTATGCTGCATCGCAACATCAATGAAAGATTTAGTTCTGGGCCTCAAATAGCCCTACATAAACTACCATCTCGAGAATTCAACAAACTGCCCCCGACTATCTACTAAAATAAAATAATATATAATAAAGATTCAGAGTTTTCTAGACTAATTAAGGTTTAGAATATTTTAGACTAATTAAAAAAGGTTCAGAAGTCTTGAGACTAATTAAATGTTGGGAATTTACGATACTAATAAAAGTTCGGAATTTTTGAGACTATTTAAAATATATTTGGAATTTTCAAGACTAACTAAAATATGTTCGAAAGTTCCGAGACTAATAAATATTCGGAGCTTCCAAGACTATTTAAAATAGGTTCAGAATGTCCGAGACTAATAAAACTTCAGAATTTTTTAGACTATTTAAAATGTGTTCAAATTTTTTTAGATTAATTAAAATAGGTTCGAAATTTCTGGGACTATTTAAAATAGGTTCAAAAATTTTGAAACCATTCAATATAATAAAATATATATTTAATGTATTTTTGGAAAATCCGAAACTATTTTAAATAGTCTAGGAGTTACGAGACAAAAAATTTTAATTAACTTAATATTTATTATATATGTATTTTTATAGTTTTGAAATTAATTCCAATACAATTTCTGAGGTATATCGCAAAATTTTGGTAGTGTACATTCAAACATGCTTATATATAAATATATATATATATTTGGAAAATTAATATAATTGAAATTCAAGTTATAAATTAAAATGTATGTCAATAAAAAAGAAAAATTTGTAAATGAAAAATAAGCCAACAAAAATTCTTTCCAATCTTTATTTCTTCATTCCTTCTTTTATTGACTCATCCCATTGTAAGTTTCTCATTCAACCATTGTTTATTTTACGTAATATTGCTAAGTTAAAAAAAAAAATACAAAAGAAATAAAATGTTAGAGATTGATATAACAATATTTTGTTTTATGTATTAATCATTTTTGGTAAAAATAACAAAATTTAAGGTTAGGATTCCACTTCAATGGAACATAAATATACATAAATATTTATATAAATATAAGTATCTTCCTACCCACAATTAACTATCTATAAAAAAAAAAAAAAAAAAGGACCAAAGAAAACCTTGGGAAGCTAATAAAATTCTAATAAACTTTTTTTCTAATCTACAATTAAGAGTATTAGTAACAAAACATAAACACACAAAATTCAATAAACAAACAATCAGGAATGCATCGGATGCATACATCGACACTTGTACCAAATTTGATTCCACTATCTCGTTCCATCAGTAGGAAATATTATATTAATATTATATTTAAAGAATCCATATAACAAATTTCAATAACCGTCAAATAAATAATTAAAACTAAAGTGAATCTTATTATCGATTTTATTATTTAAATTCTCTACTTTTTTTTCTATTTTTTTTCTTTTCTCCCTTTCCGTATTTTCAAATTTCACCCCTCCCTTTCTTTTTCTTTTTCTTGTGTTTTTCTTTTCTTCCTCTCTCTTCCTCTCGTCTAAATAAAATAAAATAATTTGTTAAACATATATAGAGTAAAATTATTACAAAAAATAAAATAAAATTATTTATTAAACATACGATTATAAAATGTTAATAATAAATATCTAAACTTACTATTTAACATAAAAAATATTAAACATAAAATAATACTCATAAAATATTTTAATTAATATAATATATAAATATAATTATTTTATTTTATTTTATATTTTTGTACTGGATTTTTATTTTTTGTAGATTGCTCATATATATCTATTTTAAATAGTCAAGATAATTCAAATCATTAACTATAATAAGTAAAAAAATATAATTTTAAGAAAACAATAGTAAAAAAATATTACGAATGGTAGTAAAGCGCTCTGATTTTTACGTAAAAAACTATGAAGAAAAAATATAAATCATTAAATATAAATAATGTTCTAAATCAAATTAAAATTAAAATTAAAATTTTATTATTAAATATAAACTAAAAGAGAAATTACATTGGAACAAATAATATGAAAATATCCATTCAATATACAAAAGATTATATCAAAGAATTTATATACAATACAAAATAAGAGAACAAAAAAAATTGTACAGCATACGTAGTCACATGTTCTTCCCTTTTTTCTTTTTGTCTTTCTTCTAAAAGTTTAGGTTTTATTTTCTCTAGTTCCAGTCTTATCTCCTCTTAATTCTTCGTCATATTCTTTGCTCTAATATTAAAAGAACACAATATAAAATATTATGTGTATTTATATAGATAAAAAAAAAAATTAAAAACAAACAAAAAAAAAAACAAAATAATTGAAGATTTAAAATATATATGTTAGGGAGAGAATCACATTTTCTCAAATATAAAAAGTATATAAAGTCATATATGATAAGTTAAGATATATATATATAGTATGTCGAGTAAGATCTTTCCATAAAAAATTTGTTAAATCTTTTTTGAAAATAAAATATCAAATTACGATAATTTTTCCCCCAAAAAAATTGTTATTATTATTTTCTAAGTCTAAAATTCTTAGATTAATATAAGTTTTCATAATTTATAAACTTCTAAAAATTTAAAATTAAATTAATGTTCCATGAAAACTATAACTTACCAAAATTATTTTTAATTTTTAACTATAAAAAATTTCAAATATTTTAGTGGTTGGACTTAAGAATAATGGATCAGGTGTTGAATACAATTTTCAGCACCCATGCTGAAATACTTCAAAACATTTTTATACTAATTTATTATTATTTAAGAATATGATCGATCCCGTATATATATAGTGGATGAGATAAGATACCAAACAAAAATAATTATATATATATACGAAACGAAAAATGTTATAATTGATTTTGACAATAATTTATAATCTTAATAAAAAAGAATTATATCAAAAAACTATAATTAGAAAAAAAAAATTCAAACAAACAAATTTAAATACTACTACATGAATATTTATTAAATATTTTTTTATGCACAATGTTTATAATACTAACAGAAAAAATAAATATAAAAAAATATTTAAAAAATAATAAATTAATAAGTTTTCATATATAATAAATAATACTCCTATATATTATAAAAATTAAATTTAACAACTCTTTCTGAAGTTTATTACAACTTAATAACACACTAATTATTATTCTAATTACACACAATTGTATAATAATATGTTTATGAATTAAATTTTTTAATATATAGTTTAAATTGTAAATATGTAATACCCCTGGAGTTGGGCCGGTGCTAGGCTAACTTCCATGGATAAGCCGGTGTCAAACTATCCGAGGTTTAATATTGATTAAATGGATCAAACTCCCATGGATAAGCCGGTATCAGACCATCCGAGGTTTAATATAGATTAAATGGATTGAATAGACTACTCATGTCAACAATATGCACATTTTTTTCGGAAGCCCTAGAGTAATTTGATGATAGGTGACCTCCGGTGAAGTCTCTCATGTGCGTTAGTGAAGACAGAAATTTGTATTGACCTGTGGGGCCAGTCTATGATATCGACATGCTCGAATTTGTATGACTTGCGGGTCGAGGTGTCAAAAATTAATACTACATTATATTATCAAAATCAAATAAAATATAAAAATAAGTTATGAAAATTAATGTAAAATTAAATATAAATATTTTATAACAAAGTATATAATGTATGATTCAGAAAAGATAAATAATAAATAAAATAAAACTATTACGTCAAATTCGTACAATATAATTATTTAAAATTTGTAAATTAAATATAAAATAATTTTAATAAAAATATAAAAATAATTATAATTATCTAATATAAGGTAAAATATAAAAGTAGTAATCATTAGAATTCTTAGTTTTTACTATTTACGGTAATAAAAAATGATAAAAATATAAAAATATTGTAAAATATGATATGAACATTTCTAGTATTCTATTTAAATTCAATGTTGGTATAAATACAATTAATAAATAGACATAAAAAATCTAATTTATATTTTCCTCCGTCCCATAAGAAGTTTGTCATTGTGTTTTTGCATGTTGATATTTGAATATTAATTATTATATCAATATGAGTACAAATCAAGAGAAAAGGAAAAAGATAAGTTTATTAGTCTCTTATAATACAAATACAATGACATTTGTGAAGTAAATTTATAATACCTCCAGTTGGCTCATACTGGAAATGCTACCGCCACACTGCATCATGAGGTTGTCACCTCCTATTTCGGGCCCACAATACAGTGTTAAGGCTAAAATTAACCATAAAAATGCATTATTATATAACAAAATCTTATTTATGAATATTTACAAACACGCTCCTAAACAAGAGGTTTTTCAGGTTAAAACTTTACATATAATACAATAGATGTAGGTTTCCTCACTTAGCCCGTCTTTCTATATCCCGAGACGTCCCTGTCTCGGATGTGCCATGCATACCTGAAACAAATGTTTTTCTTAAAAGCAGTCTAGAATTAAATCCATTTTAAGAATTAACGTGAAATATGTCATTTCATACATTTTTAAAATAAAGTCTAATTCCCGCCAATCATAGAATACGTGTCATGTCATGCCAATAGTGAAATGATGCAACAAAGATATCAAACTCGACAACAATGCACATCCACATATATATACATCCGCCGAAGTGAGCAGCCGGAATAACCTCGGCTCCATAATCATAGGCTCACTACATCTGTCTAAGTGAGCAGCCGAAATACCCTCGGCCCTGTAATAACAAGCTCACTAGACCATCATCAATAAATAACCGGAAAATCCTCGGCTTAAGGAAGGACCTGATAAACCCATAATAATATAACGGTCATCCGGTCACTCCCATATACCCACCATAAGACTCCCACTATCAATACATGGATAGTCGAACGTTGTCGCCATTAATCACAAGACGCCTCATAGTCTGTGATAGCGAAGATAGGACCCCCACTGACTAGCCCTATCCCGTGTAATGTAGTAGAATCCGTGCAACCTGGAATCACTCAAGGGAAACCCGGAAACTCTACTCCTCCTCGCGCGCCCTAACGGGATCACGTTTGGAGTTTGGCATATAATCCTAAACTACCGGTAGACCTCACCAGTGGCTAGCCCAATGAGTGGAACAACACCGAACACAAATGATTAGACCAAATACGTCTCAACGACAATGGGTTTAATCCCTGAATGACCGTGCGACTAAGTCACCCAATTGTCCGACTACTATCGTCCAGTATCGCCAAAGTGTTACGGTACATCGGGGTCGAATATTCTAACCCCAGATGATGCCCTCGCCTAGCACTACTGCACACGACGACTAGATGATAGATCTATAAATCATATCCGATAAACTGTGCAATATGTGTGCATCATGTCAAATAAGTGAATTTACCGAAAAGGGCTGGTGAGACAGCTCACCTATCCTCCTTTTCATAAATTCACCTACGCGATCAAATACATATATCAAATATCATGAACCGGGAAATCTCCCACATGCATACGCACACATATATATATAAATATATACATGCAATGACAAAATGATTCACATAATATCACATTAACATATTAATTAGAATCGCATGCAACATGCATACCTAATTTCTTAAAATTATATTTAATTCCTTACTGCTTACCTCTTATCGACACTCCCTAGCTTTTGCAATCTCACCCAAATCTTCTCCAACGTACACCTGTCCCATTATTTACTCAAATCAGCTGAGCTATATGCTTATTCATAGGAGCTACCTGCTTATTCAAAAGCTAATTTTTATAATTAGTTCGTTGGGTTTCAAACTTCTATATTTAGTAGACTACGATATTCTAGCTATAAAACTCTTATACCTCATAATATTTATATCGTCCGATTATTAAATAAAAAATACTTAACGATATGAATAAACAGGCAGGTGTAGTGCACCGCCATTTTCAATTCAGCTCGAATCGATACAAAATTCTCAGAATATAATGCTAGGACTATGAATAGGCTATTAGCTAAAGAAATTCATCGATTAAATAGCCAAATAGCCAATTATGAATTTTTGAAGAATTTCTAATTTAATATCCCTAATATCGAAATTCATATTAACATTCATAATTAAATTCTACGTATAACAAGGAATACAATACCGAAGTCAGAATCGAAATCGAACGGCTAAATTTTTTTCTTCCTCTTTCTTCTTGTCTGCCTTCTTCTTCTCGCGTTCTCCTTCTCCTTCTCCTTCTTTCGCATGTAAGGTTTGATTTACATATATAATTATATTATTATTATTATTATTATTATATATTATATTATATTATATTATTATTATATATATATACTTATATTTATATATTATTAATACCATCATTATCATCTCCTTATTATTATTATTATATTATTATATATATTATATTTTATATTTATTCTTATCGATATTTATCAGTTTAACCGTCTCTATAATTATAACCAATATACAAAATAGAAATAAAATTTATTTTGAAATATTAATTTCTTGATCCCAAAATATTATAAAAATTATTTTTTATAATAATATTATTTTATACACTCCAAAATCGGGACATTACAAAATTATTCAAATATAATGATATTTTTAGTGTCAAGTACAATGTAAAAACCAAGTGACAACCTTGCACTGGGATGAAGGGAGTATTATATTTACTCAACCTTTTCTTCTTCTAATTTCTTTCATTCTCCTCCTTCTTTGGTTTGATATTCTCCAGGTTCGCGTTCATTTTTTCCCCGACTTCAACTTCAAATCCGCCTTAATTAAAAAAAAAAAAAAAAAAACCTATCAATTTAACAAACAGTTTTAAAAATATGAAAAATCAAGTGATTTGAAAAAATTTAAACTCTAAAACTTCAAGAATAAAAATAATAAACTTCATGCTCTTCTTAAACATATATGTGATATATATAATACCAGGTAAATATATGTAATATAGGATTTTCCATTAAAAATTTTTTGTCAATTTTCTAAAATTCTCCATATAAATTTTGTTATTATAATTATTTTTTTAATTTAGATATCCTAAATTTTTGTGATGTCATAAATAAATTATGAATTATTTTTAAAATATTTAAAATTTTCAAGTTGATATAACTTTCCATAAAAATCATAATTATCCATATAAAATTATATATATATACTAGTTAAAAAATGTCAAAAATTGTGGGTAAAGAAATTGAGAATGGTCGGTCCCACACCATTCTCAAATATATATATATGTATATGATATATATATGTATTATTAGAATTATGAAATATTTACTAAATTAAAGATTAATGGACAAGTTAATATATATTTTTATAATAATTGTATATGTAATATATGGTTGTTATCGCTGAAATTTGTCGATGACGGCCCAACGGATTTAGGCCAATCGAAATCGAACAAAAATCGGATTTTCCGGCCTACTCAAAAAAGTATCCGGACTTGGTATCGCAGTAAAGTAAATCAATGGAAAAATAATGTAGGTGTTGCTTTGCTGAATTACGAAGAAAATGAAGAAGTAGCCGTGGAAGAAAATAATTAAGGAAGAACTTGATTTAAATAAACGATTTAGGCAAGAATTTAGGAACAATAATCTTAAATGGAAAAATGCAAAAATTAAGAAGGAAACTTGCTGTTGTGTTGTTCGGATGTGATGTTCTTCTTCTTTGATAAATGTAATAAATATGATAACAATATTTACGGTAATAAAAAGTATAAAATACAAATATAGTCAAGAATACAATTTTTCAATAATTTTTTTATTTTTTAGAAAAAATTAATATCAAATTATTAGTTTTAATTATGAAGATTTTTCATACTGATGATACTGATGATCATTCACCAGAACAGAGGATGATATAATCTCAACATTTTAAAAATATTATTATATTAAAAATAATCTAAATAATAAGAATATTGATTATATGGAGTAACAATTATTTAAAATGATATACCAATTGATCAAATTATGATTAAAAATAAAAATAAAATTAAGATAATTTATTGAAATAATAATAAATGAATAAGGATATATATTCACATATCCAATAATATATGTATAACGATAAATAAATAAATACAAAATCCCTAAGTAATTATTTCAATAAGGTGATTAAAAAATAAAAGAAATAGAAAAGTATTAAACAAATAAATATATTCTATCAAATAATAATATAAAATTATAAATTCGACAAAGTAATATAAATACAATAAAATTGCATATCTTTATCTTGATATGGCAGAGACACATCCACATTCTTCTCGTTTATATTTAAAAACTAATAACTAATATATCTAATTTGTCGTAATGAATAAATATAATATAATAAAATAAGTAACATAATACTTACCTTGATTTGCGGTATTACCATGTTTATTATTCTATAATAATAAAAAATTATATAACTTTATCATTTTAAATATATTTAAAAATTAATATTATATTTGTTGATGTAATTTTTCAACAATAAAAAGTAAATTTCGAAAATAGAAATTATCTTCGAATTTAATAAAATAAATGTCTGAAATTAAGAATCTCTAGACACTAAATACTAAATACTACATACTATAAAAATAAAGTGATGATCCCCAAAAGTAATTCTCTTGAATTTGATGTCGATTGAAGATGATTTGTCAGAACAGACCCGAATCCTTAAATAACCCCTTAAAGAAACGGTTTGAACCGCCGTCTGGTTGGTTACAGCAACCGCTGTCAACCGCCCACCAGGTCCTCCTCTGTTGATACGTGTGTTAACCGACTCACCAACCGCTCTCGCCAGTTACAGCACTCAACTGACTCGGCCGACCGCCTCTAAAAAACCTCACCGCCTTAAATGGGCGGCTGGTCCGACCGGCTACTTAGCCGCCCAAAATAACCCCTGACTCCTTAGATGGACTGCAAACCAACCGACCAATCCAGATACTAACTGGTCGCTAGACCAAACAACTCATTGATCGCCCAATCAAGCGACCACCATCTGGTCCCTTCAATCGGCTGAACAACAATTCGTCCAAACGACTCATTGGTCGCCCAATCAAGCGACCACCATCTGGTCCCTTCAATCGGCTGAACAACCATTCGTCCAGACGATTCGTTGGTCGCCCAATCAAGCGACCAACTGACCGCCCTTTCAAGCGACTGAACTACTGTTTGACCAAGTGACCGGCAAATCGATCAGACAATTACCAGGTTGCTTAATTAAGCGCCCAACCAACAGACCCTTCATTCGCCCGACCAATTAACAGACTTTTGAGCGACCTCCGTATCGATCCTCTCTTCGCCCGACTTCATCTTGCCCAACCTATATGCCGCTCGACTTGGATGCATATCATTTCCTTCATCCGTCCTTTCCTTGCCCGACTTCATTTCGCCCGACCTATATGCCGTCCGACCTGGATGCCTATTATTTCTTCCGTGTCTGATCTTATTATGTCCGACCTCCGTGTCCGACCTTATCATGTCCGACCTCAGAGCCTAACCTTATCATGTCCGACCTCCGTGCCCGACCTTATCATGTCCGATCTCCGTGTCCGACTTTATCTTGTCCGACCTCCGTGTTTGCCGAATCATCCTTCTTTGCCCGACCTTATCCTGTCCGACCTCCGTGTCTGCCGATACTTCATCTTCGTCCGACTTTTGGGCCGTTTGGCTTATATTCAGACCCATCCAGAATTCTACTGTCATTATTATTATTATTATTATTATTATTATTATTTTGTGCTCAACGACTTGCCTCTTCCCGCCCGACTCCTAAGCATCACTTCTAGGGATGTTTAGGAGTTTGCAGGCCAGCATCCGAGGCCACGTCAGCCTCAGATCCGACCTGCATCATCCGAGGTCACGTCAGCCTCTGATCCGACGTCCATCCATCGCATCCGACGTCCATCTATCACGTACTGGTGGTGGCCTGTGCGTTGGTCGATCTCACATTATAATTTCAGCCACCATTTATTCAGCACCTCCCCCTTGTTTTTCGTCTGGTGGATGCATCTCTCTAAAAAAGGATTCTAACCTCCCCGCCTTGGATGCTAAACTGGCCAGATCTTGAACGTCGTGGGCCGTTAAAGCCTCCCGCAGTCGTGTATGCATATTCCTGACCACCAGGTTGGTCATTTTGCTCTCCTCAATGACTGTCGGGCAACGCCCCTTCATTAGACGTGTCCTTTTGATGAACTGTGAGGATGTCTCTTCTGGATATTGTTTCATTTCCAACAAATCGGAAAGTGAGACGGCTGGTAAAGGGTTGAAGAATCTAGCATGGAACGCCATCTCTAAACCTTCCCAGGTTTGTATTTGCCCAGGTGGCAGATTTACAAACCATGAAAAAGTTGTCCTGGTAAGAGACAAACCAAATAGTTGCAGTTTATAAAAATGTTATTACCGACTTCTCCTAACTGAGCTGTGAACCGACCCACATGCTCTATCGTGGAGGATCTGTCTTCTCCTGAGAAAGCGTGAAAGTCTGGCGGTCGATAATTCCTTGGGAGAGGAAAATCGTTAATGATCCTTTCTGGAATAGGTCTTTGATATGCCGGCCTATTCATCGTTTGCGGATTCATTCCGAAATGCACCCGCAGAACTTGAGCGATGTCTTCCGGATTCACTCTAGGTGGAATAGGATCGAACACCGGAATGGGATTATGGGCCTGTCCCCCCAACCTCTCTTCCCTAGAGAAGGCTGGCTCGGCTGGGATGGGATTATGAGTCTGTTCCCCAAACCTCTCTTCCCTAGAGAAGGTTGGTTCGGTTGGGATGGGATTACGAGTCGGTTCCCCAACCTCTCTTCCCTAGAGAAGGTTGGTTCGGCTCTGACATCCAATGGAATATTATTTGGGTATGTTAGAGGAGTTTTTCCCCTGTCAACCCTAGTAGTGGCACTTGGAAGAGTGTTGTCTACATATGAAGACCCTGTAAAATTTGCTTGTAATCTGGATGGTGACATCCCTGGCGGTGACTGAGTGGGTTGCAGAGTAATCCTTGATAAAGCCTGATCTAGCATATTTTGCATAAGGTTTCGTTGCTCACGCAACATGTTTTGCATAGCCAGAGTATGCTGGTTGTTCAATTGTTGAGCATAAGACACCCAATCGGCAGGTACTTGTAGTGCTTCCCCTGCATTCGGCATAGCAGGTGGTGAAATTGTTTCCACCATTGGTGTGAAGCGACTTGGGGCTATGAGCCTGCCATATGGATCCTTCTGATGATTCGGCCGGACTCAGTCGTATAAAATTCTCG